TCAAGAAATCTTGCGATAAACTTACTGTTTCCGGATTCATTCCAAGGAATCAAAGGTTGATAAGAGGTATTTGTTTTGATGTGTTTCCCCTGCAGTCAAAACTGACGTGGAATGGGTCATAGATAAACGCAATATAAGGCAGACACACCAAACTGTTCATTTGTACCCATTTGTATCACATTTAGGCCACACAAATCGACAATAGTATAGTTTTGTCGTAAATATGTTTTCAACTTATTTTTATTATAATAATGACATTTTGCGCGATATGACAATTATGCCAATGTCAATACTACTTTGATTCATTGGAACGCAAAACACAAAACCAAGTAGTCATACTTAAAAACTATAAACAGTAAAAAAATCTATACTTTTAAAATTTAAGAGGTGGACCAGCTCATTAAACTGAACAACTTTCCTCAAGGAACATAATGTCAAAAAATGAAAAAAACATTTTTGACCTCCCATACAAATAGGTACACCAGCCGAGCGATTTAGTCTGTATGGGAGGCCCATTTTTTATATTTAGACATATGTTGTTCAGTTTCATGGACTGGTTCACCCCTTAAAATATTGATTGTAAAGGCCTTGTGGTGCCACCAATGGAATGTCAATCATGTATAAACTTGAATTTAGACCGCGATCACACATGCGACTTTTTTGTCGCGCGACATACGTATTTCTTGTTCTTTTGCACGTGTGTAAAAGGGACTACAAATAGTCGCCGGCCAAAGTCTCCTTAGTTTGAACGCGCGGTTACTGATAATTTTTGAAAGGTCGAATAGGGTTACGTACGATGAATTTATTAAGTGTCTGATGACGTTATGGCAACCCTGAATCCTTGGTATAACCTGATTCATAGAAGAGGGTGACCCGAAATGGCAACATTATTGTTGAGATCTTGCTCAAAAGTCATGCAATATGAAAAAGACGCAAACAATAATGTTCCAATTTCGGGTCCCTTTCTTCTATGAATCAGGTTATAATACCGAAATATACCATAAATGGTATAGAGCAATGAATTCCTTTTATAAGGATACTTATTTCAAGATCAAAAATCACAGGATTATCCAAATAGAAGTGGATTAAAAACCTTCGACAAAAAAGCAAGCCATACAAATCCCATGGATTTGAAATCTTCTCAGTTGGTTAAAAGTGAACACCTGCCTAGCTGCACAATACGATCCGCACGTGCCGCATTAATTTAATTAAGTTTAAAAATATTGTATGGGTTTCTTCTACCTACAGAACTGAACAACTTTTATAACCAACAAAAAATTTATACTATTACAACATTTTTATGTGGAAGTTCCAATTTTTTTCATATTTCGACGTTTGCTGTTCCTTATGCCCGCCTTGCATTTTTGCTATCAGTTACTAAGTATTACTAGTACCTATCTCAACCTATGTTTTAAATTCTTTTCGTGTGCGAGACCGAGTCGCCGACACTTTGACCTTTCTGTCAGAGTTTTTCAGCAGCAACTAGTAGGAATCTGACATAGTTGTGTAAAAGGCGCCATTTAAGTAGTCAAACATACTTAGTCTGACAAAGACAGCTTAAAGTGCCTTACGAAGCACGAAACTATCTTTTTTCCGGACAATCAGGTGGTTTAGGCCGCAATGTCCTAATCTAACCAAAGATGGCAAAAATTAATAATGGTAAGTTTTAAATAACTGGACACTGGCAAAAGTGTCTTCTTATTCATATAACCTGATTGACCATAGTCATCCAGCACAAAAAAATATTTATGTCAAAGTTCGCGCGAAGTGCGTAAAATGATACTGGCCACTTGCACTTTCGGAAAACATTTTCTTCTAAAAGTTTCTTAGTAAAAAGTAAGAATGATCACAATTTATAAAGGTCATTTCCTGATATTGATTTTTATTTTTGGAAGAATTTATTCTTTTCGTTTACTGAACGTGAAAAAATATCAAGCAAACAGACAGTTCAATTTAAGGACGTCATTATTTAACAATGAATATTGAATGTTTACTATTTTGTAGAAATTTTTCCACAAGATAGTAATTTCGAATACTCGTGTTTTAATAAAACACTAGATATTGGTATTATGAATATTGTTTGGGTGATCCAAAATGTGTATGCTATCGAAATAAAGATTTTTATTATACAATAACCTACTAAGAATAACCCGCAAATAGTTTGATGTGCTGCTGATAGTACCTACGTACCTACATTTTCTAAGATTGTTTGGAATGACTGTCACTTCTGTAAAGTTACTCATTGACCAGCTCGGACACGACTTCCGAATATTATTTGAATTTCGAACCTTCCGGTAGATCAGGGGGCTGTAGGAGCCTTAAGTTATTGCGTTGCCCCAGCATCAACGTCGATTTTGTTTTTAGAATATGGGAAAATTAAAATTTTCCTAAAATTCAAAATCATCATATAATATTCAAATCGTCTATTTTTCTTTGTTGACATGTATTCTAGTATGGATCTGACAGCTGTCAAATATGGCCTATTCCAACGCCGGTACTATAGCAACATACATAGGTACGCTTGCGTTAGCGCTGCGCTAAAATGCGCAGCAACTGCCGTTCAAGTAGGTGAACCGCCTATTACTACACACGAGATGCTGCGAAATAGAGGAAGTTCTCGAGGAATTTCTCAAGAAAATGTGCAGAAAATATATTGCTACTGCAACAATTTGTTCTTTCTTCTTTTTAGGGAAACGAGCCGCGAAAGTACCCCACTTCTTGGAGTGCTTCATGGAATAAATCTTACTGCTGACAATATTTTTCACCAATTTCTTGGTACTTATTTATTAACTGAAGATTAGAACCTGCAAACTTAATTTACTGTAATATTTGAATCTATGCATGGGTAAATGTGCTACTAAAAATATTTTTATCGAGTTTGCGTGTTTTGTGTAGTTAGTGGCCAAAGCAAGCCGAAAGGGCAAAAATAATGATGGTCGCTCTTTGTAAGCTTGCAAGAAAGTTGCGAGCAGTTTTTTTTTTTGTAAATGAGGTTTCCCTCGGGTTTCACAAGATGGTTCTGCTAGTGTCAATAAGGAATTAATTATACAATGAACAGAACTAGAAACTAGGGAACAGTCCTCAGATCGAAGCCACTGGATCACAGAATTCCATGTAGAAAATACAAGCTTTTTACGTATTTCTGCCCATACAATTGGTATACAAAAGTGCCGTGTGGTGCCGGCAGAGTAGAATAGCACAACCCCCTCTCTTCCCGTCGTAAGTGGCGACCGAGGGACCCGACCCAAACAGCCAGGGCCAACCGTATGGTGGCGGTTAATCCACCACAAAAGCATTCCCAAGGAGGGTTGACGTCTGGTGGGCGGCCGGTCGTAAAATGAAGCCAAATCCTTTTGCAACACGATTTTGTCTTCAACGAAACGTGTTGCGCCGACCCCAAGTAATTGAGATAAGGGCAGGAAGATGATGATGACAATTGGTATACAAATACACCATATGCCTATGGAAATAGCTGTGCTAAAGTTGTAAAAGCAAAAGTAGAGCAAGGGAGATCAGTTGTTGAAATGTTGAGCAACGGCTAGCGATGTTTCGCAACTTGAAAGAGTTTCCTGTTACCTATAGAAGATCAGGTTTATCATTTACTAGCTGCCCGTCAGCGATGTCACCCGCTGCAACCTATTATTCCGCGGGAAAAAAGCATTATTCGCCAAGAGATGTCGCTGTTAGTTTTCGGCGAAAACGTTTAAAACGCGAATCGGCTCAGTCACGCCACCTATTTCAAAAATATTGGAAAATGCGTGATCCCGTGGGAATGAGACATTTTTCCGCGGTAAAAAGTATCCTATGTGTTATTCCAGATGCCCTTTTATATTTCTGCAAAGTTTTATGTCAATCTAATCAGCCGTTTTTGCGTGATGTCGTAACAAACACACACACAAACATCCGCCTTTATAATATTAGTAGGATTTCATTTTATTTATACAGGGCTATTTTTTAGTCACTGCGCAAACTTTGCAGTGTGTTTCTACTCGTGATTATGATCAGTTTTTACTATGGGGCCATCTGAGAAATCTAAAAAATATTTTGGGTGTTCCATACATTTTTGTCGAGTAGGTATGAATTTTTCTATGGAACATCTTTATTAGTTATTTATTACATTGTTTTATTTTCTAATCTAGAAATAGTACCATCTATTTTCTTAATTAGGTAACTGTAAACTAGTCGCAATAGTTTTTTTTGTCACACACTTGGGCAAATATGCACCAAGTAATATGTATGTAAAATGTCGCCAAGACGAGATTATAATTTACTATTAATAGCGTACTATTTGAAAATATATTAGATCTTAAGAGGCTACTATACCGAGCTGAAAGTTCGTGAGCTGTCAGTTGATAAAATATTTCTATCTCATTTATGCATCCCACCCGTTCCGCAGCCGTAAAAGAGACAGTTATAGTTCGCTACCGGAAAATTTGCGTTCTGGGTTTACCAGGTTCCCCGTTCGAAATCGCCACCAAATTTGTTGATAGTCGCATTATTTTGCTGCCAATGAAATATTCTATGCTCGTATCATTTGTTTTGTTGAAATTATTGTCATATTTAGAAGATACCAAGGCGTAAACTTGGTGATAATTTTAGAGCATTTTGCCACTGCGATATCTTTTTTTAAATGCATTATTACAGCCAGAATAAGAATATGGAGCATAGATCTAGTCTAGAAGAGTTACCGAGCCAAAAATTAAGTCGATCGGTTGCGAATTGGCAGAGGGATACGTGTGAAGCGTTTGTATGAAAAATAATGACTATAGATCCCTCTTAAAATGAGCAAACTCCAAAAACCAATGTCTGATTTTGGTGTTTATTTTAGGTGTCAAACTTATGCAATTGAGTTGATAATACTGTAACAAACAAACTTAACATCTCAAGCAAAATCTTCGAGACAAAGCACTTGAAGAAAAAGAGTGGTGCCCGATCGCACTCTACTTGGCTCATCTTGGCGGAGAAACGAATGCGTACCCAGATTCATCAGGGTCCGTCAGGCGCCCGTAGCTGAATTGGCAAACAGGGGGACGGTACCCCACGGTCCCGGGATCAAGTCCCGGCGGTCGCAAATGATTTATCAATTTACTCATTTTCAATTTCTGCAAAGAATTTGCCATAAATGACCTCTAGAATCTACAGCAAGATGCAAGCATGGTAAAAGCGTTAGTAATTTAATTATTATGGCCGCCATGGCCGGTATAATATGTTTATATTTAGCCAGTATCTGCCCGGAACGGAAGATGGGATCGGAATAGACTCGTCTTTTAACAGCTATGAAGAGCTATTTGGCTGCATGGGAGCCATTTAATTTTATTGTTTACCTCTCAATTTCAGGATTTAAAAAAGTAACGACGGCTAGGGCTTCATGCATTTGGCAAATTATTATCCTCATTCCCAAACATTTTTTTAATATAACAGTTTTTCCACAGGACCCCTCCTTTCGCTTATCTATTATGCCTATAGTAAAGAAAACATTGAAAATTGAAAATAGATGTTATACGATCCACAGGGATCGTATTGATGATTGACTTGACAGGAGTTGGTTCAACAACGCACCACCACTCATGGACACGATCGGGTATAGACTGACTGGGCAGACATTGCCCCCACCCCACCGTAGCGACGTATGCGCACGAAACACTGACAGTCAATACACTTACTCAGTGTACTACAATAGTCAATAGACTTACTCGATACACTACATCCCTTTCTTGTTTTAGTTTTGCTACGGTCTCCTCGATTAGTTTGGATCCAATAAATAATATTTTCTAAAAACCGTTTGTAATAAATTATTACTTTTTCTAACATCATATTAAACTGAGTTGCATATTTTCATAATATTCAATAGTTTACTTTACTAGTGGAATAAAGCATATTCAAATAGATTAGTGTAAGCATACTTATGTAGGTTTCTTTAACTTCATTTATGTTGCGCATAAATAAATAAAACTATAAATTCGTTACATCTAAAGAAACTAAGTATTTTGTCTATTACCTTTTCCCCCTCCTCCGTTTTTTTTTTCTGGTATTTTAACTAGTAATCGACTACGAAAAATAGAATTCAATATATAATTTACCCGATATAATGTTGCTTGGGTAAAGAAAACAAGTCCTTATTCTCCTTGAATTAGGGACATGTTATTTTGCTTGACTCAATCGGCAGTCATTGAGATCTGTAGGGGATCACTGCTTAGATACTTTTTATCGTCGATAAAAAAGATACGTATCGTTAAATATTTTGTACTTGCATAAGGCATTATTGACTAGTTCTATTGTTATGATTTTGCAGCTTAGTTCAACTTATAGTGATAATATTATGATAATTCGGTATTGTATTGTACATGAACTGGGAAAATTGTCACTGAATTAAACCAGTTGAATATTGAAAGTAATTCCTCTTATTTTTTTTATTTAATTTTTTTACGTACTTACTGCTGCAACAAATGCGAAAAAGAAGATAAGTTAGATACGTACTTAAATAAATAGGCACTATCCTCTACAGAGGAAATTGACTTCCTGCTAATTCGCTTAGTAAAATTATTTTACCCCAAAAGTTATCAATTTCGTATTTCGTTTCAAAATGTAATTTAAAATAAAATAACCTTTGCGTTCCTTTATGATAGTTGCAATTAAATTCTCATAATTATCAACAGAACAAAATTTATAAAAAGTAATAAGTTGGTAAGTACACTCATGTATGATATTGACATCACTTACAACCAAATATTAAATTATTTGCCAGTGCTGATTGATGATATAATTATCTCCATAAGTTAGCAAAGGTAATCTAGGGCCCGTATTTATAAATCGCACTCAATACCGCACTCAATAGCGGTCTTAGCTGATACGCACTTAAGTTGTGATCATTATCTTAAGATCGTCACATATTAATAAACCGTCATCAAGTGCGTATCAACTGAGATCGCTCTTGAGTGCGTGAACTTGAGATGTTTTTGGTTTGGATACTAGACCATAGACAGAGTACTAGTTTTAAAACGTGCGTTTTATTTTTGCTTCCTCACTCGATTAGAACATTTAAGAACATTTGAGAACATTTATCAAAATATAGGCATAAAAATATAAATAGTCACATGCGGACAAAAAATTGTATATAAAATTTATTTATTTAGTTTTAAATGATTTTTAATGTAATTTATAGTTCCAAGCTGTTACAATTTACGATTACGAGTGTTACGATCTTCTTGGTAACGATGGAAACAAAACGCTACCTTAGTTGTCTATCTGTCACGTCATGTCAATCAACGTTTGTTTTGATGTTTTGGTCCTGTCTTCCAGTATCCATTTGAAAAAATAGTAAATTTTAAATTAAATGCATAGTTTGTTGAGACAAAAATGGACCGCCATTAAATAAAGAATAGAAAAGAGTAGAAGCATCGAATGGCCCCTAGTAAAGTGCCCTCAACCAGTAGCATTGAGGATGACCAAGACATTTCACAAACAGCACCAATGCATAAGGTTGAGATTCATGATACCATATTCGGATGCCTATTTTATGTCCTAGGTATCTAGTATGAGTAGTACTGGTAAGTAGTTGTTATTTAACTATTACTTCATGTCTGATCTGGTTAGGACATTGCAGACCAAAGTCCGATCCATCTCATTGTCTGTAAAAAAAGTTCTGGCTGCTGTTTCCGATAGTAGATAGCAGTGGTTAGAAAACCATTTTATAGGCCTACTTATTAGTAGTAGTAGATACCAAGTTTTGTCTGGCCATACTTCGGCTGCGCATCCCACACAACAGAAGAAGAAGAAAAAGTAATAATTTACTTATTTTTACTAGTGTCAAGGTTGTAATGTAATAATATATCACACTTGTAAAACCTTAATTGTTCAATTTACTTAAAACGCATTATGCAGATTGCAACGCATAATTCAAATTATATTATCTTTTGCAGATTCTGAAGAAGTTCTATTGGACACTGAAAGTAACCAGACCGAAAAATATGATCTAGGTAGCAGCAAGGAAGCTTTGTATTAGAATATTATGTTTTTGTCTTTCTTCGTAAATAGAGGCATTCTTACTTATTTGTTTAACTAAGGATTTCAAATTACTGGCATAGTAATAAAAGTTTAGTATTTCAAATTAATTATATTTTTTTATTAACCATTTTCTTTAAATACCTACCAATAAAGACATGGATCTCCTGAAGAAGGCCTTAGGCTCATATCACACAAGCGTTTTGCGAGCGTAACCGCCGCGTGTCCGTAACGATTTCGGTCGCTGCGCATCTGCCTCCGCTCCGCGTGTGCTCGCAAAACCCTTTAGTGAAAAAAGCCATAAAGGTATCGGTACAATGTAGGGTATCCGTTGTCGCTTTAAAGTTTTACAGTAAACATGGCCTGTGTGTATTTCACGAAAACTGCATGGCAAAGCCTGAGGACCTCAGCCAACTGGTTCCAACCAAAATAATCTTCATTTTCCCATAACTTTTAGGCAAGCGATAGATATCTGGCTACAAAATATCTTCATTAGACGAGACAAAAGTTAATTTCTAACACATTATCCTCAAAATACATTTTAATCCGTAGAAATTGAACAAAAATTATGATCTCAAGTGAAGGTTTGACAGCACTCAGAAAATCAGCTCTTGAGCTACAGCTCAAGACCGCACCTAAGTGCTGAGATAGATTTATTTATACGGCATCACTCACTTGAGATGACGTACTTAAGTTAGAACTGAAGTTCAGTCTATTAATTAAAGCAGTAACTTAAGATCGATCTTAAGTGTGATCTCAAAGTTGAGTACGATTTATTAATACGGGCCTAGGTTTATGAAACTTGTTATATAACTCACCAAACATTAGACAAGTCTTTACAAGTTGCTAATTCAGCCACTGGACTCGCCTTAAATTACTTATATTTTATTTATATTTACACTATAAATCAGCTTCCCTTTTTATCCCTGAGTAAAGATCCGACAGTCTAAACCTGTAGTTTAGAAATTACTTACATATGTACTTAAACACTGGAAGTTGTCTGTTCATAGTTCTCGGTCGTAGACTGTAACCCACAAAAGGTATGCGCTTACACTGGATAGGTACCTATATCGGGGCACAAAACTGCATAATGAGAAATTATTTTGAATACGTAGTGCAAGCTTACCCTCAATTTGCTGACGATTTCCAACGCAGTCACCGTTGCATAGTCTCTATACCTGTAGCAGACTAACTACATAGCAATGTAATTAATTATAATATAGGTAATGTAGGTATCTAAGTGTACGCCATCTGACTGTTATCGCCGCATGAAGTCCATCTTTTTCCCTTTTTCTTTTTTGACAACAACATAATGAATCCAAACTGCACGAATCGATATAAAACATACATGGTTTCTTATTTATTCTGAATGAAAAATCTATGAATACTGTAGGAAGGTAACCTAAAGACTTCTACCCCAGCAAACTTACTTGAAATTTGTACAATATCTTTTGGTTAGGTACCAAGCGCAGAGGGACACCTTAAAACAGAGTCAATAAACAGTAATAGATACAAAGCATGGCAACTTCGCGGTCACACACTATGCGATATATTAATATTGGTAGGTATAGGTAATGTGATGATTCACACACCTACCTGTATTACGTCATAATATCCTTAGTGAAAAACATAGGTACCTACTATACTACAGAAACCATTGATCCAAAATGTCGTTTGAATTGATATTTTATATACTGCAACATTTCGTAATAGGTACATCTTATCATTCAGACCCACTTGTTTCATCCTCCACAAATACACTATTGAAGAATAGGTAACTCATCATTTTTAATAACTAAGGTTGGAACCCCCGGTTTCATCCGCGGCTGTATTTCGATGTTCCCCTGAGAATTACTTACATGATTTCCTGTTGCAAAAGTAGCCTTTGACACCCTCCTGCTTCGCAAGTCACTAGCTTTACATAAAAAAAATATTTACACCTGCTTTGATGTGACGGGAAAGAAGGACAAACAAACACCGTTCTCCGTTGTGAATAATTACATAAGTAATTTATTGGGTGTTCATCAACTCGGTCCCACACGATAGAAGAAGTATGAATTATCGTTGTAG